CCCAAGAGTCCCCAGGTCTTGCCACACTGCTGGACTACTACGTCTTGACCTGGATTCACAGGAGTGTATTGAATGTTGTAGGGCTTAGCCCAGGAGACATCAAGGCAAGTGGTCGGGTCCCCTCAGTGCAAACCCCCTTCCAAGACTAAGACTCACTGGGAATACACGCTCTGATTGGTGACCACACTTGTCACTGATAAGGGGAAGTGAGGGAAAAACAGCCTTGATGTCTCCTGGGTTTCTAGTAGTGCTTTGTAGTTTTCTTTGTATACGTCTTTTGTTTCTCTGATTATATTTATTCCCAAGTATTTCATTTTGTGGAGTCCTGGTGTGGCACTATGGGTTAATGTGCTGGACTGCAGAGTTGCTTTGTACCACGAGGTCAGCGGTTCAAGTTCAGCAGCTGCTCCTTAAAAACCCTATACAGTATCACTATGGGTTGGAACTGACTCAATGGCACTTAACAACAACAACAAATTGTAAATGGTATGGCGCTGTAGGATAAGCACTCAACCACAAGGTTGGTTTGAACTGCAAGGTCGGCAGTTCAAACTTACCAGCTACTCCTCAGAAACCCTATATGAGGTTCCTGATTGAAATGCTATTTTTAATGATGAATGTAACGCCATTTCACTTCAATTTGACGTTCCTGGAATACTAAACCTTATGGTTGTCTGATTCGAAATGGCCAATGCCAGTCCACCTCAGCTCACTAATGCCTAGCATATTGATCTTTATGTATTTCATTTCTGACGACTGCCTATTTGCCTTGTCCATACCAGGTTTTGATTATTAATGGATATTTGCAGCTGAGCACCCATAGCATATGATGTTCCACCCATGCCATCACAGCCAGCTCTTCTTGGAGGAGGCATCTCTTCCCCAGTTGTATTGAGTGCCTTCTAGTCTGAGGGGTCCATCTTCCGCACTATATCAGACAGTGTTCTGCTGCTAAAGTTTTTAGTGGATGAGCCTTCAGAAGCAATCCACCTCTCCTTCTTCCCAGTCTGCCTCCGTCTGGAGACTCAGCTGAAACCTGTCCACCAGGGGTGACCCTGCTGGTGTTTGAAATGCTGGTGGCATAGCTTCCAGCATCACAGCGACACCCAAGTCATTACAGTATAACAAACTGACCAGTGAGTGGTCGTACAGAACCCTTAGTAACGTTAATTTCCAATTTTGATCATAGAATAAGATGCACTATAGTTGGAAATGGCTTAAATGTAACATGTATAAAGGGCAGGGAGCCTTCAGGTGAGGAGGAGAATCACCTTCAGCCTCAGCTCAAGGTCAATTTCTCTGAAGCTGAGGTCAGACTTAAAAGTCCATTATCCAACCTTCCCTCTGACAGCACTCCCGACTCAGCTGGGTTTGAGAATTCATCATCATGGCCACACAGAACTCAGACACCGAGCTCACAGGTCTGGGATTTATTAGGTATTTTGCCTGTGGCATGCTGTCGAGTCAGTTCCGATTCCTAGCGACCCTGTATAGCATTTCCAAGGCCGTAAATCTTTACAGGAGCAGAAAGCCTCATCTTTCTCCTTTGGAGCGACTAGCAGACGCCTTACAGTTAGCAGCCAACGTACCAGCCAGGATGCCACCAGTGGCCTTGATTTGGGAGATGACCAGGTTACAATTCAGGATTAGAAAGCGGGGCATCATTCTTTCCATCAGGAGCGCCTTTTCCCAGCCTTGCCTGCTCCAGCAATGTTTCCAAGCTCTTCTAACACTGCTGAAAAGTACTTGAAAGCTGCTCCACTCCGCCTGAAGGCACTTAACTTCCTAATTAGTGTCTGGAGTCACCCCACGTTACAACTGAGCCTCCGTCCAAAGGCTTTGCTAGCTCAGCGGGTGGGGAAGGCCACCCTGTTTCTGGCTCTGCTCTTTGGTTCTGCTGCTCCCCTGCTTGACGGCTTTGTGTCTCCTGGGATGAGGATGTTCAACGTGCAGAGATTTTAGGGTCCAAAGGACGCACTACAACCAAAGTCAGTTTGAACCACAAGGTGAGCGGTTCAAGCTCACCAGCTGCTCCTTGGAAACCCTACACAGGGTGGGTAAGGGACGGCACTAAACAACAACCAATAAAATCTTACACGGAGTCCTGGTGGGCGCTCTCGGGTAATTATTGGACTGCAGGCAGGACGGTCTGAGTCACAAGGTGGGCACCCTATGTATGACTGCAAGTTTTACCCACACGTGGTGAACACACACACACACACACACACACACACATGCAAGGCCTCTGGTTGCTTCCCTAGACTTGGTGGCTTGTCTGCCAGGGAAAGATAAACCAGCTGGAAGAGACACCCACCAACAGTGTGGCGTGGCTGAAACAGTGGCAAACAGGATCTCAGGAGGCCTGGTAAAGAGGTAACTGAGGCTGTGTGTGGGGGTGGGTGGTTGTCAGGAGCCGGATCTGATCGCGAGATGGAGCGTCCTGGAGCCTTGACCTTGTGAGTGCTGGAGAAGAGAGGGACTTTGAGTGCGGGACAGCTGTCCAGTAAGGTCTCGGGCCTGGATCCTGCGAGAGAAGCCCAGGACGCACTGACCAGGATCAGGTCAACACCGCCCTTAGCGGCCAGGGCGAAGCCCGATGCGCTTGCGCCGGGCGATCCCGTTCGTGGCCACCAGGCGGCAACCGAACCTCCTCGTGCGCCCTGCCAGACAGATGTTTCCTGACTACAAGGACCAGGTGGGGGATCTTAAGGGGCGAGCCCAGATTGTGGGCTCAGTACTTGGTTTCTAGCTCCCCTTCCGGAACTGGGCCTTCGTGGGAGAGCCGGATGGACGAACCTCCATCTCCCAGTCTGGCTGGGTGGAAGGTGGGGTTCTGTCCAGAGAGGAACACAGGCTGTCTGTGACCCTGCCTCCCCTGCGGGCTCGGTTCTGGCGCGTCCCTTCCAAGGGGCTCTTCACTTGTAGTGCAGATGCTGCAGATGGGAAACTGAGGCCAAGGCTTGACTACTCGTACCCTCCTTTGCCCCAGTAAGCAGACACCTGTCTCTCTGAGCCCTAAGTGACAGCAGATTGCTCCCTGCAGAGGGCGCTGTGGGTCAGATCCGGGGCTGGAGTCTATGGTTGGGGGTCTTCTGATCCAGAACCTCCGCCTTTCAACCCACTGTTCTGAACCCATCCCTCTGACTGCCCGGATCAGATCCCTGGCTCCGGACGCGGAACCTGCAATGGATGCCTGGCTCTGATCGCCGGCTTGCCCCACGCCCAGTCCCTCCCTTACCCTCCTCCCCTCACTCATAAGTCATGGTCTAAAGCTGGCCCGAAGGGCTGCACCGTCCTGCGAAGCCGGCTTCGCACGGGGGCAGCCTAGGAGACTGGCTGGGCCGCCCCTGGGCCCGGGAGGGCGGGGCAGCCAGGGATCCTTAAAGAGCACCCGCGCCAGCCCAGGAGCCAGCCTTGCGTCCTAGCAGCTTCAGCCGCCAGCCATGGCCGAGACCGCCAAGCTCCAACTGTTTGTCAAGGTGCCGATGGGCGGGGCTGGGCTGGGGGGTGGCGGTGGGGAAGGGGCTGAGTTCTCTGGGGCAGGTTGAGGGAGTCCCCTCAGAGTGGCTGAGTCCCTCCCATTCTGGGGGACTCAGCGCCTCAGGCAGTCCTTCCGAGGCTGGGTAAAGTGGGGCAGCAAGAGACCCCAGTGAAGCACCCCAAAAGTGGGAGTTTCCCCACTTCCAGTCTGGAACCAAAGCCCCTAGGGTGGGGAAGTGCCAGCCAGGCTGGGGCAGGGTCAGAGCACAAAGTTGAGGAGGTGCTGGGCCAAGCAACTCATGGCCTCTGGTCAGTGTCCAGTCTTAGGGCCTGTCTGTGCAGTCTTAGGGGACCCTCACCATGCGGGTTCCAGGACTCAATGTGGTGCCAGCCAGAGTGCCCCTCTCCTCTACATGACTCAAGGAGAAAACAGCTGGTCAGCCCACCCCACCCTATGAGCCGAGGCCAGGCCTGGAGTCCATTGGCTGGCCTCTGCCCAGGCTCTGTTGATAAGGGTGAGAGATGGAGATCCCACCCTGCCCTGGCACCTGAACTTATAATGGATGCCTACGTCTGATCTCAAGCTTGCCCCACACCCAGTCTCTCCCTTACCTCCTCCCCTCTCTCGAAAGTCATGCTCTGAAGCTGACCTCTCCAACTCAAGGGCCCTCACCCACCTCTTGGCGGCCCTGCCCAACCCGCTAAGCTGGCCACTACTCCCACCCCGCCTGGTACTGGATTCCTGGGGCTGATCCCTGCCCTGACCCCCCTGCTCTGCCCACCTAGGCGAGCGAGGACGGCGAGAGTGTGGGGCACTGCCCTTCCTGCCAGCGGCTCTTCATGATTCTGCTTCTCAAGGGTGTGCCCTTCACGCTCACAACCGTGGACGTGCGGAGGTGAGCCCGCCCATCCCTAATCCCTCCCGGGCCGCCTCGACCCTGCATCCATGTCCCCCTCCTCCTGTGCCGCAGGTCTCCAGACGTACTGAAGGACTTTGCACCCGGGTCGCAGCTGCCCATCTTGCTTTACGATGGCGAGGCCAAGACGGACACACTGCAGATCGAAGAGTTTCTGGAGGAGACTCTGGGGCCACCCGAGTGAGGGCCTGGGTGGGCAGGGCAGCGATACACCCGGAGGGAGGCCTCCTGAACCAAGCCAGTGGGGCATGGGGGGCCCTGGTGGGGTTTGACAGAGCGTCCCCGCCCTATCACCTCCAGCTTCCCCAGCCTGGCACCCCGCTACCGGGAGTCCAGCACAGCGGGCAACGATGTCTTCCACAAATTCTCTGCGTTCATCAAAAACCCAGTGCCCGCGCAGGACGACGGTGAGCAGGGTGGGCGTCAGCCGGCTAAGAGGGTGCGTGGGAACCGGGTCCTCACAGTCCCCAAACCGCCTCTCCAGCCCTGTACCAGCAACTGCTGCGCGCCCTCCTCCGGCTGGATGGCTACCTGTGCGCGCCCCGAGAGCACGAGCTGGAACGGGAGCCGCAGCTGCGCGAATCACGTCGCCGCTTCCTGGACGGCGACCAGCTCACACTGGCTGACTGCGGGCTACTGCCAAAGCTGCATATCGTGGATGTGAGCGTGGGTGCCGGCGGTGGGCGCGGGCGGCTGGTTTCCAGGGTGCACGAGGGCCTGACTCGTGTCCTGTCACTAGACGGTGTGTGCGCACTACCGACAAGCACCCATCCCCCGAGAGTTGCGTGGCGTCCGCCGCTACCTTGACAACGCGTTGCAGGAAAAAGAATTCAAATACTCGTGTCCTCACAGCGCGGAGATCCTGGCTGCCTACCGACCGGCCGTGCGCCCCCGCTAGCCGCTCTCGTCTCCCTGCAGGCCGGTCTCCTCGCCCACCGCCCCCACTCATCTGCAGCGCTATAAAGGCACCTGGGTCCCGACCTCTCATGGGCCCAGACCCCGAAATCACAGCCACCCCTAGGCCCCACAGTGGGATGATCGGCTCCACAAGGCCCGCCCAGAAAGGCAGGGGCGGGGCAGCGGAGCAGCTCTTTCCCCGTGCGGCCTAACGCACGGGCCAAGGACAACTGAAGTCGCCTGGGGGAACAGGGATCTCCGGGACTGGATTGGGTTCCCAAACCAGTCAGGCCAGGGTGGGGAGGCAGGATGACCGAGGAGGGTGGGGAGCCTGGGCGCAGCCCTGGACACCCCAGGGCTTGGGGCCAGGTGGGCGGGGGCTGGCCCACATTCCTGAACTCCACCCCAGCAGATGGCCGCCGCCCCTCTCGGACTCCTGGGGGAGGGGGCGGCTGTTCCACCTACAGCTGCCTGGTTATATGTGGCTGTCTGGGTGGATCGGTCAGAGTGGGTTGTGCAGGGTGGGCTGGGCTGTGTGCCGGGTGGGGATGGAAATAGTGAAACCGTCTTGGGGAGTTCTGGGCGCAGGGGGAGAGCGGGGCGGGGTCTTCCCAAGTCCCCGTGTACTGTACACCCAGAGCCTGAGGTGGGGGGCTCCTGTAGGGGGGCGCAAGCGGTCACAGGGTTAAGTCTTGATGCCATTTCTTTCGGTCCTGTGCCTCCCCGTCCGCTCCCCCGTCCCCAGCGAGCCAGGGCCGCTGTTGTCATGTGCAGTTCCAACTCCCAGCGACTCAGTCTAGGCTCCCGACCTGCAGGTAGTCCAGTGCTTATCCTACAGCGCCACACCAGAGCTCAAGCCGTTTATTCGGTGGGGAGGGGTCTGATGGGCTGGCAGCAGCAAGGATACG